AGATGGATCTTGGCTCAAAGCAAAGAATACCAGAAAGATGTTTACTTGTGTTTTTTTGACTATGCAAAAGCATTTGATTGTGTGGATCATAACAAATTGTAGATAACATTGAGAAGAATGGGAATTCCAGAACACTTAATTGTACTCATGAGGAACCTATACATAGATCAGGAGGCTGTCGTTCATACAGAACAAGGGGACACTGCATGGTTTAAAATCAAGAAGGGAGTGCATCAGGATTGTATTCTTTCACTATACTTATTCAATCTATATGCTGAGCAAATAATCCGAGAAGCTGGACTATCTGAAGAAGAACATGGTGTCAGGTTTGGAGGAAGACTCATTAACAACCTGTGATACACTGACAGCACAACTCTGCTTGCTGAAAGTGAGGATGACTTGAAGCACTTACTGATGAAGATTGAAGAATACATTCTGCAGTATGGATAACATCTCAAGATAAAGAAAACAAAAATCCTCACAGCTGGACCTATAAGCAGCATCATGATAAATGGAGAAAAGATTGAAGTTGTCAAAGACTTCATTCACATTGCTTGGTTCTACAATCGACACTGATGGAAGCAGCAGTCATGACATCAGACGACATATAGCACTGGGCAAGTCAGCTGCAAAAGATCTCTTTCAAGTCCTGAGGAGCAAAGATGTCTCCTTGAGGACTAAGGTGCATCTGACACAAGCCAAAAATATGCATGTGAGAGCTGGACAATGAATAAGGAAGACCTAAGAAAAATTGATGCTTTTGAGTTGTGCTGGTAAAGAATGCTGAAAGTACCATGGACTGCTGAAAGAACTAACAGATCTGTCCTAGAGGAAGTGCAGCCAGAATGCTTCTTGAAAGCAAGAATGGCCAGACTTCATCTTACCTACTTTGGTCACATTATCAGAAGGGACTGTTCCCTGGAGAAGGATGTCATGCTTGGTAAGGTGGAGGGTCAACAAAAGAGAGTTAGGCCGGCCCTCAATGAGATGGATTGACACAGTGGCTGTGGTGATGGGCTCAAATATAACGGATTGCAGAGCTGGCATGGGACTTGGCAGTGTATCATTCTGGTGTGCATAGGGTTGCTATAAGTCAGAGACAACTTGATGGCACCTAACAACAACACAACAACCCAAGTCGTGGTATTTTCAATTGCCTCTTATGCATGTGAGAGCTGGACAATGACTAAGGAAGACTGAAGAAGAGTTGATGGTTTTGAGTTGTGTTGGAGAAGAATGCTAAGAGTACCATGATCTGCTTAAAAGACTAACAAAATCTGTTCTGGAAGAAGTGCAGCTGGAATGTTCCTTGGAAGTGAGAATGGCCAGACTTCGTCTCACCTGCTTTGGTTGTGTTGCCAGTTGGAACCATTCGCTGGAGAAGGATATCATGCTTGGTAAAGTGGAGGGTCAACGAAGAAGGGGAAGACCCTCAACTAGATGGATAGATACAGTGGCTACAACGACGGGCTCAGGTATAGCAAGGATTATGAGGCTGGCACAGGACTGGGCAGTGTTTTATTCTGCTGTGCATAGGGTTGCTATGAGTTGGAGACGACTCTACGGCCCCTAACAACAACAACAACAACAGTATGCTAAAAGGTGAGACATGTTATGAAGAAAAAGAGCAGGATAAAAGAGGAGCAAGACAAGTACCAGAGGAGAGAGACAGGTTGCAGAGTTATATTAGGGAGTTTGAGGATGCCTTGTTGAGGCCAAGTGTAAATTCCATCTCTTGCAGCTTCTAAGATGTGTGACTGTGGTCAAGTGAAAGCCTATTTAAGCTTCAGTTGCCCCATCTGAAGAATGAAGGCAGTAATATGAAACTCATAGCTGCCAATTAGTGCATGCATTGTCTGTGACAGCGCTCAGTACACCATGTGTATTATCTCATGCATTCTTCACACAAACCCAGTGAAGTAGGTACTATCATTACCTGCATTTTACCTCATTGTGAAATGAGGACTCAGATAAAATGACTTGCATAAGATCATATAATTGGTGAAGATGAGACTTGACCACATGGCTTGGTGACTAAACCCATTGCTGTCGACTTAGTCCAGCAATAGGTACTCTATAGGCAGACTAGAACTGTCCCATAGGATTTCCAAGGCTGTAAATCTTCACGGAAGCAACTGCCACATCTTTTCTCCTGCAGAACAGCTGGTGAGCGGCCAAGCGCTTTAACCACTGTGCCACCAGGGCACATTTCTTGGTGACTATAGGACCCTTATTCCTACTCCCTGTCTTAGTTACCTAGTGCTGCTGTAACAAAAAATACCACAAGTGGGTGATTTAAAGAACAAAAATTTGTTATCTCCCAGTTTTGGAGACTAGAAGTTCAAATCAGGGCATCTGCTCTAGGGGAGGATCTGTCCTTGTAGTTAGCCCCAGGAGTTCCTTGGCATTCCTTGGTGTTTCTTGCCACCTGTCTTCCCTGCTGTGTGTGTCTGTTCTGCTTTTTATAACATAGAAGTGATTAGGTTTAGGACCTACCCTGATATGACCTCATTAACATTAAAAAAAAATTTTTTATTTCCAAATAGGATCCCATCCACAGATAACAGGGGCCAGGACTTCAATACATATGTTAGGGGGACATGATTTAATCTATAATACTCACCTTCTTGTCTTCCAAGCACTGAGAGGGTTAACTGAGATTTCTCACAAAGCAGTTAACATTGCAGTCCCTGTCTTTAACTGGTTGTGGCCCTAGAAGGATATCCTGGGACCCAGGTCCCTGAGTAGGCCTAAGCTTGCCTTTGTGCTCCTTATCTCCCCCCACCCAGCAGGGTTCCAGCTCAAGCTGAATGGTCTAAGGTGGCCCAGACCTGGCTCCAGGGTTTACCTACCCTCCCTGAGTATGGGTGGGAGAGGTATCAGGGGCCAGGCCTCAGCTTTCTGCTCTCTGCCTCAGCTCAGTGCACCTGTGCAACAACTCCATCCAGAAGCACCTGGAGAACTCATGCCACCGACATCCACAGCTGCCCCCGGACAACATGTGGTCAAGTCAGAAATTCCAGGCCCACCTGCAGAAAATGGGGGCCCCGGAGGCCTGGTCCACCATCATTGTGCCTGGCATGAAGGCTGCTGTGATCCACGCCCTGCAGACCTCCCAGGACACCGTGCAGTGTCGGAAGGCCAGCTTCGAGCTCTATGGGGCAGACTTTGTGTTCGGGGAGGACTTCCAGCCCTGGCTAATTGAGATCAATGCCAGCCCCACCATGGCGCCCTCCACAGCGGTCACGGCCCGGCTCTGTGCTGGTGTGCAAGCCGACACCCTGCGTGTTGTCATTGACCGGCGGCAAGACCGCAACTGTGACACAGGAGGCTTCGAGCTCATCTACAAGCAGGTGAGGTGGCCACACCCAGATAGGACTCTAGTCTTGCTCCCCCAGGGATCTGCCACCTCTTTTGTACAGCCCGATAGTGTACCACAAGGGCTCTGTAGTCAGACAGTCTTGCCACAGTGACTTATTTAGTACAATCACTTCACCTCCCTGAACCTCAATTTCTTCATCTGTAAAGTGGAGAAATATTACTGTCTTTCTCATGGAATTTAGAAGGATGAAATAAGTATTATGTGTGGATAATATTTTTAGAGAAGCAGTATAACCAGTTGCTGTTGATTCCAACTCATGGTGACCCCTTGTGTATAGAGTAGAACATGTGGGTTTTCAACGGCTAATTTTTCAGAAGTAGATTGTCAGTCCTTTCTTCTGAGGCACCTCTGAGTGGATTCAAACTTCTAGCCTTTCAGTTAGCAGCTGAGCTCATTGACCATTAGTATTACTCAGGGACTCCAGAGAAGCAGTATAGCATAGTGTTAAAAGCATAGATTTTGGAATCTCCCTAGGTAAAAATTCCCGCTCAGTAACCATCTGTGTGACTTTGGACACATTCCTAACTAATAGGGGGGTCTCAGTTTTCTTGTCTGTAAAGTGGAAATACAAGTAGTACCCACCTCATAAGGTTGTTGTAAGAATTAAACAAGTTGAAATAAGTAGAGCACTTTAGAACAGTGCCTGGAACATAGTAAACTCTACACAAGGCCTGCCTATTTTTATTACCTAATAAGGTTGTTAGGAATTTCATGGTAAATGGCATCACATGTAAATTACTGAGGCAGTTGATTCATAGCAAGAATCAATTAGTGGTAGCTGCTATTATTATTTTACTTATCTGATAGTTATTCCAAAAAACACAAGTCCACTTATGCAGTAGAATAAGACTTTTTTTAAACCAATCACGTGATCAAAATCCCATTAGCCTTCTTTACAGAAATAGAAGAACCAATCCTCAATGTTATATGAATGTAAGAGGCCCTGAATAGTTAAAGCAATGTCAAAAGAGAAAAACAAAGTAGGAAGACTCACATTGCCTTATTTTAAAACATACATATAGCTATAATAATCAAAACAGCCTCTACTGTATAACCAGCCTCTACTGGTATAACAATAGACACATAGACAAATGGAATAAAATTGAGAGTCCAGAAATAAACACACACATGTGTGGTCAACTGATTTTTGACAAGGGTGCTAACTCCATTCTATTGGAAAGAAGAGTCTCTTCAATAAGTGGTGCTGGGAAAATTGGATTTTCAAATGCAGAAAAATGAGACAAGATCCATGCCTCACACCCTATATATAAAAACAAATTCAAAATGGATTAAAGACCTAAAATTCTCAGAAGAACAAGCAGAGGTAATATTGTCAGGCCTAGCTTTCAACAATGGATTATCTAATATAATGACAAAAGCACAAGCAGCAAAAGACAAAATAAATAAATGAGACCTTGTAAAAACTGGAAACTTTTGTTCATCAAAAGACTTTACCAAAATAGTGAAAAGATAGGCTGTTGGCTAGGAGGATATCTTTGGAATGCATATATCTGACAACAATAACCAAAATATATATAAAACTTTGACAACTTAACAACAAAAAGACAAATAGCCCAATCATAAAATGGACAAAGGGTTTGAATAGGCATTTCAACAAAAAGAACATTCAAATGGTCACCAAACACATGAAAAAATGCTCAGCATTATTATCCATGTTGTTGTTGTTGTTAAGTGCCGTCGAGTCATTTCCAACTCATAGCGACCCCATGCACAGCAGAACGAAACACTGCCCTATCCCGCGCCAGCCCCACAATCCCTGCTATACTTGAGCTCATCATTGCAGCCACCGTATCAATCCATCTCGTTGAAGGCCTCCCCCTCTTTCGTCAACCCTCTACCCTACCAAGCATG